CCGTGCCCTGACCCCCCGTGCCGTGCCGTGCCCTGACCCCCCGTGCGCCGCGGTAAGTCCCAGCGCAGGGTGCTCAGCCCCCGTGGCTCACCCTGCACGTCGTTCTGCAGGATCTCAGTGAACACCAGGAACAAAGCCTCCTCAAAGCTCCCCACTGCCTCTGGGTTGGCCTTGCACGTTATCCTTATCGACAAGCAGATTGATTCAAACATGTAATGGTTAAAGTGAGGTTTGCTGGGATTCTAGGAACAAGTTATAAACAGGTAAATCAAACCAAGCTTGCAGCCAAGGCACTTACTTTGCTAAACATATTCTTTATTTCAACTGAAGCCTCAAGTAGCATTTGGGAATGAGGATACTTATCGGCCACCTATTAATATGCTTATGGAATTAATTCCATAGATAAAAGCAACCACGAAACCTTTAAAGCACAAAGGAGAGCCTTTCAAACAAACACTAAACGTAAGCCCTAACAGGAAGCAGTAGCTCCCTGGAGGCTGTTGGGTCAGGCTGCACTGAGCTGTTTACAGTGCTCTGACAAACCAGGCACACCCAAGCTCTCACCAGCACTGCTCTAAACCCAACCACTGACCCCTCTGCTGTGTTCTTTACCTTACTGACAGCCAGCAGCTTCTGTGTAAGCTGTGTGATGACAGAAGGGATGTATGGAATTATGGATTCCTGTAGCAGAGAAAAACTCCTCATGATGGCTGCAAATAAATGGAAAGTATTACCTTCTGAAGACACGATACACTTCTGCCATCCACCACACGCCTAAATCCTTTACCTTTCACTGCTAATAGGATCCAAAGGAATTAAGTACAGTAAGAAAGAGCATGGGCTACAAGAACCATCCATCTACAGTCATGACAAAGGATAAAACAAAGCCTCATCACTGCCGTTGCCCAGATGGAACACCAGAGATCACCCAGCCTTGCACAGACTGTCACTTCTGCTGGGCAAGTCTCAGCTCTCAGCATGCTGCTAGCCACAGTCAGACCTGCCCCTGACACTGCCCAAGGAGCTGTCCTGCCTGCAGACTGCACCTGAGAAATCATCTGCACAATACCATTACCCTTAGTGTTCCTCTTTGGTACCATCAGTTCAGCTGAAGATGACTTGATGCAGCCTGGAAAGCACCTGCAGCTGCACAGATCTCTGCACAGGTTTGCAGACCAGAATGTCAGGAGCCTGAAACCACAAGCCTCCACCTGAAGTTAACCAAGTTATTCTTGCACTGCAGAACTCACAAAGCACTCACCTTTCATGATGTACTCGTTCTCAGAGGAGCCAGGCAGTGTCAGCGCTTTGAAAAGGTTTGTCAACAGCACTTCCACAAACGGGGCCATTTCCGCAGCCGTGATGCTGGGGAGGGGAACACAGCTCTTTAGTGGGCAGGGACACACTCCCCGAGCCCTTTACAGCACTGCAATACTACCAACTGGAGGATTCCCCACAGGTATTTCTCATCCTTAATGCACAAACCCCACCTAGCCATGAATTCGTTTCTGCTGGGGAACTTACAGGGTGGTGTTGTTTGTGCCCCTCATGGTGAACAGCCTCTCGAGAGCATGGGCTGCATAAGTATGGACCACAATACTTTCTGCTTGAAGATGATTGATTAAGAGAGGAATAGACACCAACAGTTGCTCCTTTGGTACCTACAAAAATATAGCAACAAATTACACATATGTTAGACAACACAGATGGTTCAGCTCTAGAGCACAACTCAGCTCTGCACCAACACACGTGAACCTGGCAGAGGACAGAGTCTGGGAAGGCTCCTCCAGGTGCTCCATCACACCTGGACAACCAGGAGGTACCTAGTTCTGTCACTGCTCACCCACTGCCCTGAACACCCGTGGGACACGTGACTCATAGGAGCTGCAAATGCTCCTAACGCCTATTTCCCTTTCCATTTTACTTTGTCTTAATGGCAGTTATAAAACAGCAAGTTTAAAAACATAAAATCACAGACACTTCATAAGAAATGAGTCAAAGCAATCTAAAATTTAGAAGCAATACTCAATCGGTTTCCTTGCTGCACCTCACAAACCAGAGGAGGTAAGGGGCAGAGCTGCTGTTCTGTAACAGCCACTGCAGTGACAGGAGCAATTGAGCATATTTAGACTAACACTGCCTTGACAAAACTGAGTGTGCCACAGAACTAAGCGGCCAAGATGTTCAGTGTTCCCACAGCATATGCAGAGCATATAGACTACATGTCAACTGGATATCTATAAAAGTATCATTTACTCTCTCAAGTAAAAGTTCAGCCTGAAGTGTTATGTATGACTCTCAAGACACCTGTTGTGTTAACATATGGCCAGGGACGATAAATTAGGCTCAGCAAGGATAAAGTAACAAACTACAATATGTTTCTACTGTAAAAGAAAAACTTACTTGGTTTCTAAAAATCATGATATATTTGATACCATCTGCTTTTAGCACAGGGAATTCATTCACTGCAAGAGAGAAGGATGCAAACTTTGTTGATACTTTTCATACAAATGTGATTACTGAACACACACTATATATAGAGGTGACACTAAGTCACCATTTTCCCTCTCAGAATGGGCACTGTTAGGGTGTCAGTTTTAGGTACAAATCACACACCAGCACCATTAAAAGCACAGACCAGCTCTTCCCCTTCTGGTTCCAATTTTAACAGCCTCCAGTTACATGTTCCAAGGCAACCCACCATGTTTCAAATATAGTATAGTAACTGTTGAAGCATAGAAATAATCTCTGTGGCTTAAGGGTAGTCAATAGGGGCTGACACAGGCCATGACTAAGCTTTCAGTGCTTTACCTTCTCAGGGTTTTGTAGAGCACTGAAGTTTGCCCCGAGGGCTCAAATACAGAAATCAAATCACTTTGATTCAGCAAGTGTAAGCATGCTGATAGCAAGCACTGTGTGCAGCCCTGGTCCTGCAGACAGCCCCTCCCAGGTGCTAACAGCCTGATCTCAGAGACTCAGATGGCACAGCAGTGCCTGGGACCTGAGTCACTGCCAGCGTCCTCACACATCCCAGCAATGCCACGTCAAAGTCAGCACTGACTTACCACTAGCAGACTTCAGGTCAGGCTGAATGTGGTTTACAAAGAATTCTGTCAGATTCACCAGTTCATTGGCTTGAGTTATTCCATGCTGGAGAAACAACACATAAACCAACTGGTTTTAGCTGCTGATACTCTGCTAGTTTTCTTACCCATTTTTATGTGCCCTCAATAAAAGGAATCTAAAGTGTGCATGCACATGGTGATATTGTTGAAATTGCATCTTTTGAGAGCCATCCAGTTTCTTTTCCTTAATGTTTTTAGTGTCTAGGTTTCAGCTACAGCACTACTGAGATTCAAAGTTACCACCTCTGAGTTTGGGAATATGAGACTCTAACAGGAATAATCAAAGAAATTTGGGTAATTTAGCATGTCAGCAATTCGATTACCAACTGTGATAGGATTATATAATGGACAACTTTTAATCTCATCAACATAAACTACTGCACACACAGTGACTCCCATTCTGAAGCAGCTTAAAATGAACTGCACCACAATATCTGATTGCTACAGGTCACAATGAAGAGAATGTAAAAGTACCTTCTGTGTTTGAGCTTTGGATGCCAAAGACGTGACCAGGTAAATAGCTGCATCTTTGTGCTTCCAGTTAACAGATGGATTCTTCGCATATTCTTGCAGCATAGAATTAACATACCCAGAAAAAATCCCTGTCACAGGTCCTTCGAAAAATTTACACAAGCCTCTGACCAGATCACAAGCTGCTCTGCGCCTGGTGTCGATATCTGCAGGAGAACCAAAGACTCTTTGGACATGGGGGAGCACACAGCTTTTGTACTGACCAACACAACGACCGAAGCAGCGACAGCCACACCCCGTGCTAGCTACCACAGCCCCCACGCTGCAGTCCTCTACCTGCTGCCACAACAGGACTGTGCACCAGCAGCAGAACAGACACTGCCCACAAGCCCACACACTCCCAGGCTCCCCTGCCCCTGGGCAGGGCCCAGGCACACAGAGGGCTCTCACTGCCTCGACAGCTATGCACCCAAACCTACTGGTCTGGCTGGGAGTTCACTGTCTCCCTAGCAGCCCATGTGGTGCAGTGCTCTGTCCCAGTGACTAAAGCTGTTGGTGACACCCAGTGTGTTTTGGCTGCTGCTGAAGAGCACTTGCACGGTGTCAAGGTTTCCTCTTGCTCTTGCTCTGCCTTCCTAGCAAGTGGTTTGGGGCAGGCAAGGAGCTGGGAAGCTCATCCAAACTGATCAAAGGGATATTCCATGCCATGCAATGACATTCTCAGCAGTAAGAACCAAGGGGAGGTAGCCACTGCCCAGGGACGGGCTGGGCAAAAGTCTGTTTGTGGGAGGTCATTGACTTCTCTGCTCTTTTCTTCCTCTTAAACTGTCTTTATCCACGAACTTTCTCACTTTTCCTTGCCCCACTCTCTCTCTCCCATCCCACTGCAGCAGAGTGGGACACCAGCTGCTGTGTGGCACTGAGCTGCTGATCCAACACACCTGTCAGCATGTTTTTGTGAAAATACCCAAACCCACAAACAAACAAATAAACAACCCTGGACAAACTTCTTGTTTCAGGACAGGAAAAAGAAAATAGAATCAGCTAACAAAGAAAGGCTTTGTAAATACCTAAAATGCAGCCAATCCTGGATAAGAAAAGTTCAAAAACATTTTCCTCCAATTGTGTTCTGCACTGCAAGCACACAGGAATCTTAAACCTGCTCCAAAGTGCCATCACTGCAGGAGTCAGTCAGCCCACTGCAGAGGCCTGGAGCTGTCACACGGCTGCGGGTTGGGCTCCCCAGGGCTCAGCCTCCAGCAGCACACCCAGAGCTGGCACAGCCCTGTGCTCCCTGGGCCCTCCCTGCACTGAGCACCACCAGTGTCCACGGCCTGGCTGCTCTCAGCAACCCCAGCCAGGACTGCAGCTCAAACATCACAGACTACTCAACACAGACACAGTCTGTCCAGGCTATTTAAAACTCTGCACATAGCAGCTAAACACACAGCTGTGGCTGCTGCTCAGCACTGACTTACAGCTGTATTTGCTGAAAGGAGACTGTGTGCAGTACAAGGGACACAGCAACCCAATTAAGGAGAAAGCCTTACAAAACCACTGCTCCAAACCCAGAGACACTGTGACCGGCATATCGCAACAGCAGACGTGACCACTGGACACGATCTCCTGTGCTGGTGGTGTGTGGAAACCTTCTCACTTTCAAAATGGAGTTACAAAAGCTTCAGTAAATTGCTTCAGCTCTTTGAGCTGTATTTAAAGACCAAGTATTCTTAGTTTAAAACTGTGGATTACCAGATCCTTCTAGATCCCTTCTTATATATTCTTCAGAATTATCTTCAAATGCTTCTTCATCAGCCGCTGAAAACAAAGCACAGAAATTCAAATACTGACAGCTCTGGGGTTTATCGTAAAAAGGTGCAGCACTGCCAACTTGCTACTTTACCCAAGTACTTTTCTGTAACAGTACTAGAAGTTGCTCGGAAATACCCAGCCAGACTAGCCTGTTCAGCTTCCTCCTGTCCCACAAACTAGTCTGTCATACTCATGATGCACTGAGTTTAAAAAAAGAGAACAAAAAGCCCCTAAGACACATTCAGCACTGGGTGTATTTAAAGAGGCTTCCAGAGACACAGGTTTAGATGTCCTGAGAAGCTCCTGATCATTGCAATACTTCTTTGCTGAATTTTCAATGCTAGGATCAGTGTGAGCCCATCAAACTTGAAGAATAGACACTACAATTTGGTAAGCCTCATGTTCCTACTTAAATCGTTTTGATACTCACTTTAAGCACTGACATTTATTGCTGGCACATGACCTAGACTTCCTACACTGGGATTTCAACAAGAAAAATTAGGTACATCCACACAATTCCACCAAGCCCACAGGACAGCAATCTGCTGCAGAGACTTGGGTTTGCATCTAGCACCAAGTGCCCAGGAGGGAATCCTCAGTCCTTACTCCTGCAAAGCAACATGTCATTGTAATTACAGTTAGATTCTGCTGTGTTTTCAAAAACTGAAGTCTCAGAAAGTTACCTCTGAATTCCATATTGGGAACAATCACTTTTTCACAGATGCTTGTCAGTGTATTCTGGTCTTCAAACAGATGCTTGTAGTGTGGCCTCTCACACACCGAGGCCAGGAACTGGATTGCATTACTGACCAGCTGCAGCACCAGACAGAACACAAAGCTTTAGCATCACTGCTGGTTTATAACTCATGATCACACTTGGCAAGATCAGTTATAACTCACCAAGTCATACTTCACTTCCTGGCCTGTCGTGACAAGCAGATTCCAGATCGCCGTCACGAATCGCGGCAGGTAGGGCTGGAATTCCTCATCGTATTTTTGAGCATATAAAGCAGCATTATCACAGATTTGGGACTTCAGGAGCTCCAGTAATCCAGCTTCCTCTTCATCCTCACATAAAACAGAGCTAAGAACTTAAACATCCAACTTTGACACTACTTGCACATTAAAGTATCAACACACTCAAAGGAAATGTTTACACCACCTCTTCACCATGTCGTGAACAGGTGAAAGAAATCCCTCCCATGTCCCAGAATTACTGTATTCTGCTGATCTGTACTGGAACTGTTCTACAAGTTATAAATCCCATCTACATTTCAAATCAAGGTTCTAAGCACTCCAAAACATTCAGACACAGTAGTTCACATGGAATTCACCATCGTAATATGGAAAACATGCTGAGAAGACATTGTATCCTGATACATGAAACTGTAACAGTTGTAGTCCCTCCCCTTCCCCAGACCAGCACAGATGCTTGTAGGACCACAAAGTGAATTGAGAACCTGAGCTGGCAGTAAAAACCCAACCCAACCCACCCAGCTGTGTCTCCCCTCCAACCTCACCTCCCAGCTTTAGTGCCCTTCCTGTTCAGCTGCAGCGACTGCCCAGGCACAAGCCAAGAGACAAAGCTCCCTCAGCAGCAGGGTGACTGGAGCATAGGATACACTTAACGTGCCTCCCTTTGTGTGGTCAAGGAATTGACAGAGTTGGTTTGGCTCCATCGAGGGACATTGTGCTGTACCAGAACACCAGCACTTCAATGCAGAAAGCATGCACAGCAATACTGTGAACTTGGATGACTTGGTACGATCTCTCACCAGTGAAATTGCTAACTGTAATTAGCAAAGACAACAAATGCTAAAGTCCTTAGGGATGCCATGCCCTCACTGCTCAAGTGTTTCAAGTTCTTTAAGATAGCCTGTTTTCTGAACACAGTGCATGAGCCAGCTGGGAGGCACAGCAAACCTGAGCACTGTGGTTTACACGGTCAGGTTACTGCAGCAGATGTCCTTGAGAGAATCGACTCACTGAGAGTATGTGATTTGATTTCTGTGTACAGCTGGGCACACATGTAACTGACATACAACTTCAAGAGCTGGACCTCCAGCTCCTTAGACCACAGAACAGTTTCTCTTAAACCTCATTTTCTTATAGCTATTCCACTCCTGTTTGCCCAACAAAGAAAACATTGCAGTGTTCAGAGTTAGACCCAAGTTCTCAGCCAAACCTCTCCCCTACAGAGGGAAACCACCACATTTCTGCAGTACTTACATCAGTCTGCAAGAGTTTGTTATCTAAAGTTAAAAGACTATGAAAATTTGTCATCCATGTTTCCATGTTATCTTCAAAAAACTCAGGAAGATCCTGTAAAGGAAAAGCATAAATCTACATTCTACTTTCTGATTGCACTGCTTAGATAACACCTACACTGTCAGGAGTGCCTCCACCTTGTAATCTACCAAGGGACAATAACAAACAAACAAGCTTCAAGGAGGAACAGCACCTCCTCCTCCCAAACGAAAATCCTCCTGGCAGAGGCTCTGGAATACAATCATTTCCAAACCAACAATTTCTTAGACCCTAAACAGATCAGTTTTATAAAGCACGAACCTCACTGCCTCTTACTCTCAGAGAGCACAAGTGCCTTTTAACTCCAGCTTGCTCTTTCCCCCTGTGGAAGAACAGCCCAAGGGACCCAGGCAGGATCACACTTCACAGATTCGTGTTCGTGTTGAGACACTGAATAGATGTCACCTCAGCGAAGGAGCTTTGTGCCACTTTCCATCTAGCACACTTACTCGATAGCGTGTGAAGTTCAGGTCTGGTTCCAAACCCAAACACCCCACACTGCTACCAGAATTATTTGCTGCTACAGAGCTACTGCATGTGAGGACTTTCACCTGCACCACTGAGCTCCTGTCGGTACAGACACGTTTGTAGAGGAGCACAGTGAGCACAGACTCAGGCATTTGACCCCTGCCTTCCCCAGCTGCTCTTCAGAGCCACCCATACAACAGCTCCTTGCTGTGACACCAGCTCAGACTCTCCTGAACTTGTGTTTAGATAGGGCCAAGCTAACGTGTTCATTAACCCCATCCTTCATCTGCCTTTACTCCAGTATTGATGCACTTCTATTTTTGCCATGAAAGCCTTAAAGGCTGCCTCAAATGAGCTCAGTAAGAAGAGCATAACAGCCTTATGGGACCAAAGCAGAACTATTAGAAGAAGAAGGAGATTCACCTGAAAATTTAAACTGTAGAACAGCTTTGCAATTAGAATGAGAGAAGAGAAGAGAACCTTCAGGGCACTGGCATCATTTGCATGTGTGCTGCAGAGCTCAATAGTTGCCTAGAAAAAGATGCAAGATTCATTCAGGTACAAAATCAGATCAACAACAGGTCCTGAAAAGTGTCAGGGAACATCTTTTAACCAGAAAATACAGTTATTTTTCCTCTCATCGACCCTGTTAGGTCTCACTTCTTGACTTGAGTTTGAACCTCATTGACAGTTTCAAAACAACTATTCTTAAGCTTTAATTTTACAGGAATTCACAACAAGCAATTCAGAATATTAAACTTATTTTAGAAATGATTTAACAAGAAATACCTTAAAGAGATTTGTCAAGGGTGAAGCAAAGGAATCCAGAACAAGTTTGATCTCTGTCCATAACTCATTTGATTTAAATTCATGGCGGTACCTGACAAGTGAAGGAGAAACACAGGAACTAGAAAACAGTCTTCACATTTATTACCAAATTAACTTACACAGAACTATTTTTGTGCTGAACCTTGACACAAATACTGTCAGGCAAACAAGAATTAAACAATATAGTTGGAAGCCATGTCAGGTGTGCAATTTGACAGCCACTCAAAGGCACGAAGTCAAACCCTCCAAAGCTGAGTGCAGCAGCCACCGCGAGGGTGAAGCCAGGCTGCACAGCCCCTGGCCCCAGCACCTTTTGAACAGCGAGTGCGCCGTGCGCAGGACGCCGTTGATGACGTGGAAGTCTCCGCTCTGGAAGCGATTCACCATCTCTGTCAGCAGGTCAGGCCACTTCTGGGGGAAGTCCTCCCGGCCAATGATGCTGATGGCATCGCTGAGCTGCGAAGGGAAGGGACTGTTGGGTGGCAGAGCACAGCAGAGGTGCCACCCAAGTGCTGCGATCCCTGCCAGAAACCAGTGGGTCAAGCACCACCTACAGCTCACCACACACACACACACAGCTCACTCCGCTCAGGGTGCACAGCCTCACTTTCCAGAATTACTGTTTAACTGCTTAATGCTGGAACTTAGCCGTAAGATTACAGGGCAATTGTCTGAAAAAAATTAAAGTAGGCAGAAGTAGCTATAACAATATACTCCAAGTTACTGGGATCAGGATAATCTCACTGGTAAGGGAGCTGAGCTCTGCCAGTAACCACAGCCTCTAGACATGCTTGGAATATTCCCAAAGTCTCATGCATGCAACCAGAAATCGACATCTTACCTGCTTTTGAATTTGTTCTGGGCTGCTAAGCATCAAGGGCACTATGTTGGCTTTGATGGCTATCCTGTCTGATTCACATATTTTGTTTGGTTCGTCCTCAACCTGAAAGGAAAGCAAAAATTAAGTCCTGTGCAGATCAGTATGCTCCAGACAACAAAGCACGATCAGCATTTCAGAAATCAACTACCACGCTGATGAAGAAAGCACCCAAGAAGCAGAGCTGTTAGGGACACTGCCCACAGCCAGTCTGGAGCAACAGTACCTGAAGAAGGTGAAAGAAATTATGCCTTTCTGTAAAACTCTGAAGTAGCTTTTCTCCTCCCCTGAGGGTGACTGCTCAGGTCAGCAGTGCAGCAGCAGTGAGGGTGGGTGCACATGGCAATAACACACCCACGTTTAACCAGGTCTCCTCTTGCCCCACACCGAGCAGCATCTCTGCCAGCCTCACAGGTGTATTTTGTGCAGCTGCCCCAAGCCATACAGGCTAGAAGCTGTACAGGAAGGTGCAGGTTACACAGTCAAAGCTTTCAGAGTTATCCAAACAGTTCGAAACATCAATCAGTTCCCAGTCCAGTCAGTCAGCAGTGCCAGGTGCCAGGAAATTACAAAGTTGCTGCTAAGGAAATAAAATAATCCAGAGGCAGTTTGTCCCCAGCCAGTGACAGTCACATTATCTGTGATGGCAGCACTCAAGGTCAGACACCTAAATACCACCCAGCAATTAAAAGACTTAAGCACCTCAAGAGTAGTTCTCGTGGTGTGGCCACGGGCCCAGGGCAGTGCCCGTCCCCTGCGCTGGCACTGCTGAGGACAAGAGGAAAGGGCCTCAGGTAACACCAGGGCAGGTTTAGATTGGACATTAGGGAACATTTATTCATCAAAAGCATTAGAACAGGCTGCCCAGAGCAGGGCTGGAGGCAGTTAGATAGACATAGTATCACAGAAACAAAGCTCTAGCAATGTCATGCCAGGCTGAATGTGCTGATGTTACTGAACACAGCCAGACCCAGGGCTGCTGTGGCTCCTTAATGCTAGTGAGGGGAAGGGCAGGAATCACTGCACAGTGGAAATAGGTGCCAGCTGAGATGGGAAGATAAATATTTCAGTTTCTCTGTAGGAAAGAAACATTATACATCTGCTGTTTTTCAAACAGATACAAACAGCACTTTCAGTGAGACAAAGCATAACCAATATCAATTAAAACCACTCATCATGCAAGAAGTTCAGCTCTCAAATGCAATACTTTCTGCCATCAAACAAGCCTCAAGAATGCTGAAAGCTCTGAACCAAAAATATTCCTGACCTCTTCAAAACCAATATAAGATGGGATTAAATGGTAATACTTGTATTTGATGCCTGCAAACGCTCCCGTGTTCAGCTGCCAGGGGCTCCACACTGAAGTGCCCCACAGAGCACTCCTGAAAGAGCTGCAGGGCTGGTGAAGGTGTGTGTCACCCCCTGAGGAGAGACACCCCACGGGCTCCTGTCTATAGGCACCTCACAGCCACTCTGCTGCAAATCGTCCGGGTTGGCTAAACCAGCTTTAAATACTGTGCTTCTGCAAAACATGTATATCAGATTAGAGAAAATCACCTGCCCATCATTTCATCACCCAGCTCTAGTGCTCTGGTAGAATGGACTCCAAGGGCCCTGGACTTAGTCCCTCAGCAGTAAGTTACACCTGGTGTTTGTTCTCCAAATGATCCACTGCCAGTCCCAGAGCACAGACACACACACTGCTCAGGGTTACAGCAGGAGATCTCACTGGACACTAAAAGGAGGATTAAGTCTTAGCACAGCTGCTCACTGGGATACCTACAATTCTCCAGTTCCTTTTGATGTAGTTCTTGAACGTTACAGATGCACAGACTTTGATGACATTCTCCTGTGACTTCTCCAGCAGCGTCAGCAGCAACAAGGGATAGTTCTGGCTTCCCTCCACTGACTCAAGGAACTTCTCCGCTGTAAGAGAGCGCACTAGGGTTAGCAAAGCCTCAACTTCTGCCCCTGGTGGAAGTCCTATGACTCCTCCAGGGTCTGTGCAAAATAACCACCACACAAACTCCTCCCCAGAGCTTCACAGGACGAGTCTGACTCACAGGCACTGCAGAGTCTCTCCTGAGCTATCTAACACTCCTGCTACCAACAACAGCTCTCACTTCCCAGCAGGATGGGAAAACATTGCCTCTTCACCACTTCTGAAAGCCATAACCACAATAAATCCTGGCTATTGTGAACAGCAGCACTGTTTTAAACAACAACAGTACAAAACACAATAAGAATACAGGGAAATAAACCCACAAAAAGTCAATAAAGTAATTCATATTCATCCCTCATTAGTTTTTCAGGGGTTGCTTTAGAAAGGTACCCAGAACTTCAGCAAAGAGGTCATTGCATAAACACCCACTGAAGCTTTCACCACACAGACAGAAGGGCCGAGAGCTAACGGCTCTGCTCTGGTCACTCCCAGGAATCACTTACCAGGACGCCTTATGGCAGGATCTGGATCTAGTGTTTTCTTCAGATACTCCGTCAAGGTTTGTAAATTGGCATCACTCAGCTCCATTTTGGCAGAACCTAAAACCCACGGGGAGTTTTGTTACAACGAGAGACCAGAACATCTGTCTACAAACTACCCACATGTACAGCCTGATCCCACAGCAGCCACACAACAGCTCCTCCCCACAACACCTCACAGGTGTGGTCAGCCAGGCACAGCAGCCACTTCTCCAGCTACAGCTCACTGATACTGCTCCACTCACAGACCCAGGACTCCCAGGAGGGACTCACACCAACCAGGTGTGGCCAAAGGACAATCTCCTGCCCTCTGTGGACAACAGGAGTTTGGTTTTGCTTGAAAAGTGCTGTCAGTGACAGCCCAGAAACCTGCTCCTGCCACAGAACTGTCAATAAAAGATTCAGAGTGTACTGAAGAGCCAAGGCTGGTCTAAAAACCAAACACTCATTACCAAAGGAAAACCTCAAAACAAAACACTTCTATAGAAAGACAAAAGGCTGTGCAAAGCCAGAGGGTTTGTCCTCCTTGTCAAAGCAGCTCAGATCAGGGTGGGAGCTAATTCAAATGCAAAACTTACTGCAGAGTAACTCTGCAATGTCTGTATTGCTCCTCTCTAGTAATCCTCCCACACACAATCCCTTACATACCACAGTGACACATTTACCTCACAGCTTTAATTGGAACAATTAAAATCACAGCAACACTACACCAGCAGCAAGATGTGCTCTGCTGGACATGTGGCTCAGGAGACCACCATCAGTCCTGCCCATCCCTCCCACCACCAGCACCACAGGTCACTCCCCACAGGAGTCACGAGGAGGCAGATTTCCATTTCATCTCTGGAGTTCCTAATTAGTGAGCTTGACTGAAATTTGTCTGTCTCACCGTGGAGTTGTTTTATGCTGATCATCAGTGCTATGAATACAGTTTTATCCAAGCAAAGACAGTGAGCTTTAATGACAGGATTTCTACTTTAGCTATGGCATCACTACCTTTAAAGAGGCAGCAACAGTGTCCTCTCGAACTAAATGAATGTTCCTGAGGAGTTCAGACCCCAATGCATTGGGGGAGAGGGTAACTCCACCTCGAGTCATTGCCCTTCCCTCTGGGGCGTTTGCTTGTCCCTAGTCTTGTTCACCAATCCACACTGACCAACCTATTCCACCTCTGCTTGTCTCCTCCTCATCCTCTAGCACCTAGTGTTTGTTTTCCACCACAAAATCCACCCGTGCAACGTTAGACAGAGGGACATGATGTTTTGTGCTGTGATATGTGCCTCAGACACCCAGGGAAGGCGATTAGTGCACTAACTCCTTCAGACGAGCACTGCGAACCAAACCCAGCGGCGCGCTGGGCCCACGGGGACAGCTGCGGCCGCAGCCCGGCCCGGCACACG